TAAGACTGTGTTACCAGGTTTCTTGCTTGGTTCCCGGACACCACTCTCTCGGATCTCCTCTTACCTCACTGGTTCTTCCCAACCTGTAAGTAACAAAGTGCCCAGGATCAGTTCTTAGGCAATTTTTCTAGTTATACCCACTCCCTAGATGTTCTCATCTGGTCCCATGATTTTAAACACTTCACATACTGGTGGCCCTTGTTACATCTCCAACCCTCTACCTCTCTCTTGAAACTCAAGTGCTCATTCCTCTTAGATGTTTAATATGCACATCAAATTTCAAACCTAAATCGACTGAAGAAAACTCTGTGTTCTCCATCCTTTCAGGCCTACTCAGTTCTTATGTTTCCCTTCTCAGTAAATGGCAACTCCTTTCTTCCAGTGGCTCAGACTTCAAAACTTGGAATCCTCTTTGATTCACTTTCATACCACACTCCTAGTCTATCAACAGATCCTTCAAATTATATCTAGAGTCTGGCCACTTCTTACAACTTCCATTGCTACTACCCTAGTCTAAGCCACCATCATATCTTGCCTACTCTACTTTAACAGCCTCCTAACTGGTATCACTACTTCTATCCTTGCCTTCCTCCCCCTTCCCTCCTCCTCCCATCCTAGCCCTAGCATCCAGAGTAGTCTTTAAAAAACTGCAATTAGATAATGCCATGCCTCTACTCTAAGCTTTTTTTTTTCTTTTTTTTCTTTATTTATGATAGTCACAGAGAGAGAGAGAGAGGGGCAGAGACACAGGCAGAGGGAGAAGCGGGCTCCATGCACCGGGAGCCCGACGTGGGATTCGATCCCGGGTCTCCAGGATCGCGCCCTGGGCCAAAGGCAGGTGCCAAACCGCTGCGCCACCCAGGGATCCCTACTCTAAGCTTTCTAAGGCTTTTGATCTCACTTTCTGGATAGAGTCCAAAGTTCTTATCAGGGCCTACAAGTTCTATAAGACCTGGTTCCTCTGATCTCAGCTCCCATCTTTCTTCCCCTTGCCCACTCCAGTCTAGCTACATTGATCCCCCTGCTATTCTTCAAACATGCCAAGCCCACTCCTGCCATCTGCCCTTGAAGTGTTCTCTAAGCTATCCACCCTTCCTCTAGTTACCTGCATGATAAGTTCTTTCACTTCCCTCAGGCCTCTGCCCAAATTTTGCCTTATCAAAAAGACTTTTTCTGACTATCCTTTAAAAAATAACCCTCCTGTCATTTTTCTTTACATGCTTTAACTTTTCTTCCTAGCAATGATCACAACTCAACATATTTTATACTGATTTATCTGCCATTGATTATCTCCATTAATATGTAAATTAAGTCTTTGTGCATGTAGTTTTTGCTGTAGCCCTAGCTCCAAGAACAGTGTCTGATACATAGTAAATGTTCAACAAATATACATTGAATGAATAGATTTGTTGAATGGATTCATCTAGGTCTTTTGTTATCAGATAGAGTGGCTTCCAGATAGTTGTTTATTTTTTTATTTTTATATTTTTAGAAGATTTATTTATTTATTCATCAGAGATGCAGAGACATAGGCAGAGGGAGAAGGAGGCTTCTTGCAGAGAAACCGATGTGGGACTTGATCCCAGATTCCCAGATCATGCCCTGAGCCGAAGGCAGATGCTCAACCACTGAGCCACCCAGGTGTCCCTTCTAGATAGTTGTTTAATTAGTATAATCAAAATCAAGTGTGAGAAACTAGAAGCGGTGTCGTGGAGATCATCAGATTATGCAACTATTTAATACTAATGACCACCATGGGATTCGCAGAGATTTTCAGTTTGCTCCTTAATGCCAAATCACTGGCCAAACTCTAAGGCGGAATGAAACATCTGCCTTTAACTTCTTTGGCATGTCATTTATCCTCTAGGGCTCAGTGTATCCATTTGTGAAATAGGCAGCTGAAGGGATCCCTGGGTGGCGCAGCGGTTTGGCGCCTGCCTTTGGCCCAGGGCGCGATCCTGGAGACCCGGGATCGAATCCCACGTCAGGCTCCTGGTGCATGGAGCCTGCTTCTCCCTCTGCCTGCTTCTCCCTCTGCCTGCTTCTCCCTCTGCCTGTGTCTCTGCCCCTCTCTCTCTCTCTCTCTCTCTCTCTCTCTCTCTCTGACTATCATAAATAAATTAAAAAAAAAAAAAGAAATAGGCAGCTGAAGATATGGTTACTGCTCTGCTGGTCTATGAGATACTGAAGGGAGGCAGTACAGTTAGGAGGAGCAACCACACAAGCTCTGGAACCTGACTGTATTTGAATCCTGCCTCCATTTCTCACAAGCCACATGACCTTGGGCAACTTTCTCAGTTTTCTTATTTGTAAAGTGGAAATAATAAAAGGATAATAGTAGCATTTAATTCAAAGGGTAATTGTGAAAATTATATAAGACAATAAAGTACATAGCATATGGTTTGGTACATAGTAAGTGCTCAATGAGTGTTAGTATTAAAATGAAAAGTTAAAAAAATAAAAATGAAAAGTTCTGAGAGGCCATTGCTATTGTGTTTTATGGGTAGTAAAGTACCTTAGAATACTAGACAATATGAAATCTGTAAGGGTGTGATGATAACATTGTGGTTAGGTAGGATTCCCTTATTCTGAGGAGAGGCATGGAGAAAAACTGAAGGGTAAACTTCTCAGTGTCTGTCACTTATTTTCTAATAATCTATATCTATCAAGAAAATGTGTCAAAATGTTAACAAATGTTGAAGTGAGGTGGAGAGTATGGTTATTGTTCTATTCTTTCAACCTTTCTGTATGTTTGAAAATTCAAAATAAAAGGTTTAAGAAGAAAAAAAAAAGGACCCTAGAAATAGTCTAGTGAAGTCCAACTGTCATTTTACAGAAAGAAGCTCAAAGGTGAAGATTTTGACCAAGGTCATATACTAGAGGAGCCTGAGCCAGACTCCAGGTCTCCTGGCTGACCATCTCTCCCTTTGTGTGGGTGGCTGCTGTTGCCGCTCAGGTAGTAGCAAGCTGCAGGGGAACAGACTCAGCTTTCCCCAAAAGACCAAGGGGTGTTATGGGTGTGTAAAATGGCACTTGTGTTGGTGTTTCCTTTTTGTTTATTAAGCAAATAGGTAGGTCACTTGGTTGGAAGGTATGAGGTCAAAGTTGTGAAGGCAGCAACCAGGGCCAGACCCGACATCCTGGGTAAACCAGTTTGGCACCATCTGCTCGTGTTTTCTGGGTGATGGTGGTGGTGTATATATATGTAAACGCTGGGATTTCAGGGGAGAGAAGAAAGAGTAGGAGTAGGGCCAGGGTCAGGAAGAGCAGTGGAGAGACTGGCTTAAATTCTGGAGCTCCCTGAAAGAAGGGACCCCCAGGGTTTCTCTGGGGATGAAATGCAGGCACGTATTTAAAGAAAGGAAATGATTCTCTGCGGTCTGCAGGATCCTCCTCTAGCTAGCAGGGTTCAAAGCAGTGAAAAGAAGAGGCGAGGAGAGGAGGGGATGCCCATGCAAGTCTGGGGAGCGGGGAACAGAGAAGGAACCGGGGAGAAAGCGCAGAAAAAAATACCGTAGAGGAAGCCTGGGCCACGGTGGGGGAGGAGTTGGGGGAGGGGTGCTGGAAAGGTAAGGAGGCCGCACCTGGGGGCCTGCGGGCGCGGGGAGGACGGTCAGCTTCCGCCAGCTAGCGTGTCTCGCCCCAGAACCGCCCCGCCTCCCTCTTCTCTGGGTCTGGAAGTCTCAGGAGGCCGCGGAAGCGAGTGCAGAGCTCCCGGCGCTCTTACCAGGGGGAAGGGCGGGCAGGAGAGGCGGGGCCTCGGGGCCGGGCCGGGCCGGGCGGGCGCGGAGCCTCTGGCCGCGGGCGGGGCTCCTCTCCGGCGGGCGGGCGCGGGAGTCTGGGGGCCGCGCTTCCCCCTCCCGGTCCGCGGAGGCGCCTGGCCCCTCCTCCTCCTGCCGCCCCCACTCCCGCGGCCGCTGTCCAAGATAAACCCGGCTGTTGCTTGCAGGAGCGGCGGCAGCCGGCGGGCGGGCGGGCGGGCGGGGAAGAGCCTCGGGCGCGGCCTCGCCTCCCAGCTCGGCGCCCGCATCAGCACCGCGGACAGCGCAGCGGCGGTCGCCCGCGCTAGGCGCCCGCGGACCCAGCCCCCCACCGGCGCCCGGGCCCTCGGCGTCCTCGTCAGCACCGTGGACAGTGCCCCGGGCCCCTGCTCGCCGCGGCCAGCCCGCCTGCCCCTGGAGGCAGCGCCGCGGACAGCCCGCCGCCGCCGGCCTCGCCGCAGGCTCGGAGCGGTCAGCGCCCCTGGAACATGGCCACTGAGGTAGGGGGCGGGCGCCCAGCCCGCAGGCAGTGCCCGACTGGTGCGGGAACACAGCCCCGCTAGGGGCGGACTGGGCGGGAAGGGAGGAGGGGAGGGCGGTGGGGTGCGGTGCGGTGCGGTGCGGTGCGGTGCGGTGAAGCGGTGGGATAGGGTAGGGTAGGATGGGGTGGTTTTCCGGATCGCTTACTGCGGGAAGAGTGGGGAATGGAGTGGCAGGGTGGAACACGGGGGAGGGGGGGCTTCTCCTGAGAACTCCTCTCACGCCTGGCCATCTTCCCCATCTGAGTGCCGAAGCTGCCCACGCCACTTGTTGGCACTGGCGCCAGGTTTGCTCCAGAGACCCAGATGGGGCTTCCCCTTAGCCTGGACTGCTAGTCTTAAAACTACTTCACTAGAGGATTGGAGGTGAGCTTGCCCCTGTTTTCGGGTGGGAATGCGGCTGGTTGCTGTTGCTATGCAGTGTAGCCTTCCAGCTTTTAAACTCAAAAGCCTGGTTAAGAGATGACAGATCTACCTCCACATCCACACTTCCTTCATGGGGAGGGAGGGGACAAAGAATCCTCAGGCCCAGACCCCAAATGGTTGGTTTATAATGAGCTGCCTGCACTAGTCTCCACTTTTGCACATCATGCTTTCTTGCTTTTTCATCCCATTCAAGTTTCTTGACACCAGGGTGCCTAATTTCCCATGTCTGATGGGAGGAGCTATCCTCTTCAGGGTGTACTTAAAGGTGTGTCACCGTTAAGGGTCTTGAAAGCTGAACCAAGGGACTGTTGGCTGAGGGCAGAGTCTCGGTGCAATACTTAAGAGACTAGGAATTTCCACCCGTGGTCCCTCACTGCATGTGGGAAATGGAGCTCTTTCTGTTCTCACTTATAAGCGGTAAAGCTAACACACGGAGAAGGGGAGAACCTATTTGATACACAGCATGTTAGCAGCAGAGTTGAAAGTTTCTTCCTTTGGATTTTTGGAGTGGAACTCAGGACACCAGGGCCTCCCCAGGTCTGATTGTTGATTCTTTTTGTGGTGTTTCCCCATTTCTAACCCAGCTGGAACACAAGCCAGGGGAACAACACAGGCTTTTGAATGATTCTGTGCATTGCCTCTGGGCATCCTGGTGAGCAGTGTCACATCAATACCAAGTGTTATTGTTGCAGTTCTGTCGTGGCCACCACAGAACAAGGTGCAGTTGCTTGGTGCCACTCGGCTTTGTGACAAGGCACAGGATTAGCTAGGAGGGCTCACCTCCTTCCCCAGGACCTTGTGAGGGGGCAAGCCCAAAGCAGACCCATGGAGCTTGATTTTTAGGGTGGAGGAATATAAAATAAATAAATAATTAGAAAGCTCAGAAAGTGCCAAAGTCACTGAGAAGAGCAGGAAGAACAAAGGAGAAACGGCCAAGGATCTGGTCACTTTCCAGATAGGGCTGCCAGGCTGCAGCAAAGGCTGCTGGTATTGGGCAGGAAGAGATAACTTCAGCCACCTGGGCCTAGCTGGGCCAGCAGTGTGGGCAGAGAAGGCAGCCACATCTGTGATGTGACCTGCCAGATTCCAGGAGGCTCCTCTGTCTCATCATATCTCCATTTCAGGTCTGTTGTGGTCTACAAATTCCAAACAGCAGGCTCACATCTCTAGGTTGAGGCGGTGTTTCTAGGAGGCTGCTGTGAAGCATGCATGACTCTCCCCAGGGAGAGATTCTGCTCATAATGCCTCTGTGAATGTAGCACTTTCCTGTGTACAAAGCACTATCACATGTGTGATCTCCTTTGAGCTTTAGAGCAACTCTGTGAAGTGGGCAAGGATGGTATTATTATCCCCAATTAACAGATGAGCTAACAGGCTCAGAAGCTTGCCTGATCCCTATGAAGAAGCCAAGGAAGGCATCATTATCCCATTTTACAGATGATGCAACTGGAATGTGAGAGTTTATTCAATAAACTATGGCTCAAAAGGGGCAGGACAAGAACTAGAGCTGGAATCTTCTGCCTCCCTAGTCAGTGTCTTTTCTGCTGCATCCAGGTGTAACCATTAGCTAACAGTGTTGCTCAACAGAGAGGTGGGTGTGAGGGGCGGTGAGATGAGGCTGTGATGGGGGAAGGGATGCAGAAGGACTCAGGCTCCCTGTTCAGCCTGGCTGGGTCAGCTTGAGGGCAGAGGGACAGAGGAATGCCCAGAAGGGATGGAGAGCAGAGGACAAACATTACCCATTTCTCAATTTGGCCTCAGGTGGACCCTGCTGGCAGCACTGAGGGAGGAAGCCTTAGCTCTGCCAAGGCACAGAATGTACACGTTCCCTGGGCTGTGGACTGAGTCATTCTCCCCAGGCTGTTTTTACTGTTAGGACTGAGTTAAGATTCCCAGGAAAAACCTGTTGGGAGAAGGAATACCTCATGCCAAACGTCTTGGCCATTCCCTTAGGAGTCTGAGTGGGAGGTCCTCAGTTCTAGCAGAAGGTGTTTTGAGAGGTGAAGAGGGGAGGAACAGAGGGTGAGGGGAGAAGGAGAGGAAGGGGCAGGAAGACAGAGGGGGAGAGAGAGAGAGACACTGAGAAACATTGCATGTCCCTGGATCTCTAGATGGAAGGCATGGGAACTAGATCTTCTCTGCTTCTTAATTTCTGTTCAGGAGTTAGCTTTAGGGGAGGAATCTGTGTGAGGAACTCAGAGGAGGGATGAAGCCTCCTGAGTGATACACTGACCTCATTTGGAAAACTGTAATGAGCCCATTTCCTGAGTGACAAACCTCTGTGAATGTGTGTCACCGGGAGCAGGGTCTGCCCTGGGAAATAGTCCAGATAGCCAGGGACAACTGGGAAATGTCTGGCAGGGAGGGCTTCTTTGAGTGGTGAAGTTTGGTCTCTAAGAGGTTTTTTTTTTTTTTTTTTTTTTTTTTAATTTACTTATGATAGTCACACAGAGAGAGAGAGAGAGAGAGGCAGAGACACAGGCAGAGGGAGAAGCAGGCTCCATGCACCGGGAGCCCGACGTGGGATTCGATCCCGGGTCTCCAGGATCGCGCCCTGGGCCAAAGGCAGGCGCCAAACCGCTGCGCCACCCAGGGATCCCCTCTAAGAGGTTTTTAAATGCACCCAAGCAGCATTATCCAAGCAAGGCATTTGGAGGTTTGATCTCTGAGGCCTGGAATTATCAACCAGCAGACAGTGGGTTGGGCTTGGCCCTGGTGTAGGCTTAGAAGAAGGGAAGCCCTTATGCTTGGGTTTCCATCCTGAGGCCTGACTTGGCTGCTTGTGACTCTTGATCCTCATTCCTCCTCCATGCCCCAGCAGCCAGGGAGCATGGTGTTGGTTCATTAGCTGAATCTCCTGATTCTTGAGTTGAGCCTCAAATGCATCCTCTGGAATTAGCTAGTTTTTAATGAGGATGGAGATGTGGGCCAGATGGGGCCTCCTGTTTGATGTGGGCAGATTGGGACTGGGAGTGTTCTTCTGAACTCTAGTGCTTGTTCCTCCCCACCTCTACCGGGTTGGCTCTATCAGGTGTGTGACCCACTCTTCAGGCAGCCTCCCTATCCCTGTCCTACTGAAGTTCAAAAATTGGTGCCAACAGATATTACCACTGATTTTCTCTTTCTTCTTCACAAAATGCCTCTTGGTCCTGTTTATACTCAGCTGCCGGCAGGCCTGGGGACAGTGGTGGGAGAGAGGGCAGAGCTGAGGAAGGTAAAAAGTAGATGAGAAGCCCAGGTGTCAGAGTCAGTTAAGAAATCCTGGGGGAGCTGCTAGGGGAGACACAGAAGCTGTGGCCTTGTAGTGAGGTGTGTGCATATTCTGGGATCCTCTTATGGGATTTCAGAGCATCATAGATCTCTTGAAAACTCTCACTCACTTCCTGAAAACTAAGTAGCTGGCAAGTGCCTGGGGCCTGGCTCTGGCTCTGGCCCAAGGGCCCCAGTGATGGGGTTCTTCATTCAGAGGTCCTCAACTGGCAGTCCTAGGAATGAATGTCATTCATGATTGTGCCTACTTGATCTGCTTCATGCTTACAAATGTAAAAATTTATTTGAAACATTAAAAAATCAAGATATTTGATATTAAAGAAATCTGGATTTATGGCTTCTCATAAGATGTCGGAAGCACAGCATCCTGGGCTCACATTACCGCATGGCAGTGATTGGTCGCTTTCCTGAGACAAGGCATGAGTTCTCTGATCAGTCACAGCCCTTACCCAGCCCACTTATATGCTTAGTCCCTATAAACATTTGTATTCGTAATCCCTGAAAAAGCCTCCCGAATGTCAGGGCTGGAATGGGCTTTAAGTGACTACGTTGTTCTAGCTTCTCAGTTTCTAGCTGAAGAAATGGAGTCCCAGAGTAGTGTGGCACCCAGATCTCCTGCTCCCAGGTCAGTGGACCTTCTTTCCATAAGAGCCTTTCGATACCTCACAACTGAGTCATTGTGGATGGAGAGAGCCAGTAGATGCTGCCTTGCCTTAAATCCACCCTTCACCAACTACAGATGAATCTGTTATATTGCGCTTTACTGGGAGATGAGGGCTCTGGAGTATACAATGTGTCTGATACCATCTTCTAGCAACTCCTCAAGACTCCAAAAATACTCTACAGGGAGGGAAACAGATTCTTTGTCACTCAGAGGCAGTGTTCTAAGGCTCAGGATTTTGGGAGTTGGAAAGGGTGTTGGCCCCTCCCACTCTGGCTACTTGAGAACATATGGATCAAAGCCAAGAGGAGATGAGACTATACCATGTAAGGTAGCACCCTAAAATCTTAATGGAATAATAAACTAGAAGTTTATTTATGGCTCAGTTAAATCCCAGACAGGTGATTTTGACCAGCAGGTGGATCTCCTCCAGGCTGATTCAGGGACCCAGGCTCTTCCCAACTTATGGTTCCATCATTTTCAAAATATAGCTTCTTTGGTTTCTGTGGGAGGGGAAAGATTACAGAGGCTAGTCATTGTGAGCCAAGCCTGTACATACCACTCACATTCCATTCAGTCAGATGCCCACATTTAATTGCACAGCAGTCTGGGGATTAATCTAGCTGTATACATGGGAGGAAGAAGTGGCTGTGGTCAAGTCACTAGAGACAGTCACTAGAGACACACAACTCCATGGTAGCACACAGTGCATGTGTGCACTAGGCACAGACAAAGGAGGCTGTTGGGGGGAAGAAGTAGAGTCCATATCAGAATGGCTGAAGCACTGGGGTTTTTTTCTTTTCTCCCTTTCTTTCCATTCACATGATCACTTTCCTTGGTTTAGACACACTTTTGTGTTCCCCTGGACCACTACAAAGGTAATCCATCCCTTCAACTGGCCTCTTATCTCACTCATGCCCAATTCCCATGCATCCCTCTCAGAGTTGCTTGAATGATCCTTTTGGGGCTAGGGAAGTCTATCCTCAAGATCCACTGGCTCATGTCAGTTGGTTTTAGAAGGACAGAAGAAGGCCACAGCCCCTTTCCTTGGAAAATACAAAAATATGAAATCTTAACCAGACAGAGAAGACACATTCATGAATAACAGTACTTAATATCACCAAAGCTTGCTTTGTTTCTCAAAGTTATCATAGGATCCTAGAGGATGTCAAGGGGGCTTTCTCAATTAAAACCTTGATTGGTGGAATCAAGTACTATTAAGACAAGAGGAACACTTACATTCTTCAATTCAGTCCCAATACTCTGGGACCACATCTCTTATGCAGAGCAAGGGTTCTCTGGATTAAGGAAAGTCTCTGATTCTCCTTTTTTTCAGAACTTTGATTAACCAATTATCTGCTCTTACTTTTCTCTCATTACTTATTCTTTCTGCCTAGCTTTTTAAAAAATAAGATTTATTTATTTGAGAAAGAGAGGGAGAGGGAGAGAGAGAGAAGGAGAGGGAGAAAATGTGCTATCATGGGGCAGGGAGGGCAGAGGGAGAAAAATCTCAAGTAGATTTTCCATTGAGTGTGGAGCCCAATACAGGGCTCAATCTCATGACCCTGTGATCATGACCCGAGCCAAAATCAAGAGTTGGATGCTTAACCAACTGAACCACCCAGTTGCCCCTCTTTCCCCCAGCTTTTAAACAAGTTTAAGTGTCTTCCATTCTACACTCTCCCCTCTATTAGAGACTCCCCCCACCCCCAGCTCTCTGTGATTGCACAGAGATTGTTCTCTGTACTGTCATCCCCTGGGCTCTTATCTAATCCACAAACCAACTCCTATCTTTTTTATTTTATTTTATTTTATTTTATTTTATTTTATTTTATTTATTTTATTTTATTTTATTTTATTTTATTTTATTTTATTTTATTTTATTTTATTTTATTTATTTATTTATTTATGATAGTCACACACACACACAGAGAGAGAGAGAGGCAGAGACACAGGCAGAGGGAGAAGCAGGCTCCATGCACCGGGAGCCCGATGTGGGATTCGATCCTGGGTCTCCAGGATCGCGCCCTGGGCCAAAGGCAGGCGCCAAACCGCTGCGCCACCCAGGGATCCCCCAACTCCTATCTTGCTGAAATCTGCCTGCAGTCACTGGAGTAGACCAAGTTCTCTGCCATCTTTGCTCCTTTGTACAAGCTCCTCCCTCCATCTGGGTTGCTTTGACATCCTCTCCCTACCCACTGCCTGCCCCCTATCACTGGCAGCACCTGGCCTTCCTTTATGACTCAACACAGACCTCAGGAAGTCTTTTCTGAGTAAGCATTTCTGGGTAAGATGTTACTTCTCTGAAGCATTTATCACAGACTAATTTATTATATACTTACTTGTCTTCCTCCCTGGAGCTCACAGGCTGTCTTTTGCCCAGCATCCCCAGAGCCTGGCAGTAGTAGGGACTCAATAAATGAAAGGAATGACTGAATGGATTCACCTTAATTACACAGGATGAACTGGCTGTGTGCTCACTCTGCCCTTGGGGCTTGGTCTCCACGTGGTTCCAGTGTTTGGCATATTTTACCCAGTGGAATGCTAGCTTCAAATGTGGGTGGCTAAGGCTGGAAGTGAAAGAAAGAGGACCTATTCTTTTTTTTTTTTAATTTTATTTATTTATTTATTTATTCATGAGAGACACAGAGAGAGAGAGAGACACAGGCAGAGGGAGAAGCAGGCTCCATGCAGGGAGCCTGACGCGGGACTCGATCCCGGGTCTCCAGGATCACACCCTGGGCTGAAGGCGGTGCTAAACCACTGAGCCACCTGGGCTGCCCAAGAGGACCTGTTCTTCTGTGGACTTGAGCTCACTCCCCTCAAATGCTAGTCTGTGTCAATGTTAAGTCTGCAAGTGTGGGCAAGGGATGGAATTGCCCCACTCCTTTCTACCAGGGCAAGGTGTTTCTTTGATTTGGAGCTTCAGCCCACTTTATTCATAATTTTCTCTGGGGAAATTTGGGCATTTGGAGCCCCCTTCTTTCCTGTGACGAGATGTCCTGAATGGGAAAGCTATCCCTGATGTTCTCTGTCCTGGGCTTTAACTTGACCTGAACCCAAATATCCCTCCAAGGTGGTGGGCATATCAGTTCCTGCACACACCCCCCCCCCCCCAAACTGCCGTAAGCCCCACTTCTGAGACCTCAGTCTTGTTCAGGGCTGGGTTCCCCAAGCATGAGGCCTGAGGAGTTGTGAATATTTTATATTTGCCAAGTAAACAAAAGTATGAAAGTTTCTGTGTGGCATAAGACAGGAAAAAGGAGGGAGGAGGAGGGAGGAGAGAAGGAGGGGAGGGAGGAGAGAGAGTGAGAGAGCGAGAGAGCGAGAGCGAGAGAAGGATCTGGGCCAGCCACCAGGAAGTCTTTTTCTCTTATTAAACTTTGTTTCTAGTTCTGTTGCTGGTTCTAGAACCTCTCCTTTTGGCTCAGCTTTGGCCCTGCTTCAGGCTTTTTCCAGATCTTTCTGGGATAGCTTGAGGTATCTTGTCTGGTAAGCTCCACAGTCCTGCTTCCCCGTGGTCTTCCTGGAGCACTGGTAGGGTGGCTAACATCTCGGTTTGCTGGGAACTTTTTTGATTTTAGTGCTGTAAGAACCATATCCTGAAACTCCCTCAGTCTTGGATGATCTAGATGGATGGTCACCCTGAGTGTGTGTCTCCTGTATGCCTCCTTAGGTCCACAATCTGCAGGAGCTGCGGCGAAGTGCCTCGCTGGCCACCAAGGTCTTTATCCAGAGAGACTACAGTGATGGGACCATCTGTCAGTTCCAGACCAAATTCCCCCCAGAGCTGGATAGCCGGGTGAGGATGGCTTTTTTCTCAACTTGGAACACAGGCCATGATGGAATCAAGGACTTAATCAAATGTATTTTTTTTCCAGTATAAAAGTATTATGTGTCATATAACTTGCTCAGTCACTTCACATGGAAGAATTAAACAGTGCCCCTGATAGTGTCTTGCTGTCACCACATGAAAAGTTAGAGCTGAAAAGGCCTCAGATTTCCTAGTTCAGCAGCCCACAAAGGTCAGCAGCACAAGAGTCACCTGGAGAGCTTTTTTTTTTTTTTTAATTTTTAAAAGATTTTATTTATTTATTCATGAGAGACACAGAGAAAGAGAGGCAGAGACACAGGCAGAGGGAGAAGCAGGCTCCCTGCAGGGAGGACTGGATGCCTGGTCTCCAGGTTCACGCCCTAGGCTGAAGGCAGCACTAAACCGCTGAGCTGAGCCACCGGGGCTGCCCACCTGGAGAGCTTCTTAAACAAAAGCAGATTCCTTAGTCCTGTGATGGCAGCAGCTTCTGGAATCTCCACATTTTAGCAGCACTTCTTAGCCCTACATGCAGAGCTTTAAAAAATTCTGACAGCCGGGTCATCAACCAAGGGCTCTGCCCACAGCCTCTTCCTCCAGACTCAGCTACCTGGGGGTCTTATAGACACCAGACCCCTTGCAAGGCGTCAGATCCTGCAGCCAACTTTTGCTTCTGGTTCAGGGGTATGGTATGTATGGCCCTCATCCCAGGCTGCTGTAGAATTGGTCTGGGGTTGTAGTCTGCCCTCTGGAGGGCGGCGGGCAGACCCGGACTCTTTCATTCAGCAACTCAGGCCCATCTGAATGGGCTTGGGAAGGTGGGACAGGGCTGCCTTTTGCTAAGCTGGATCCCCACCCAGCTTTTAGTGAGCCATGGGCTCTCCTCATCTCATCAAAGGACATACCTGTCCTTTGGGGCATGGCGAGTTTTGGGGGTAAAGCATAATGTTTTCTTTCTTTCTTTCTTTCTTTCTTTCTTTCTTTCTTTCTTTCTTTCTTTCTCTTTCTTTCTTTCTTTTTTAAGATTTATTTATTTATTCATTTATGATAGACACAGGCAGAGAGAGGCAGAGACACAGGCAGAGGGAGAAGCAGGCTCCATGCCGGGAGCCCGATGCGGGACTCGATCCCGGGTCTCCAGGATCACACCCTGGGCCAAAGGCAGGCGCCAAACCGCTGAGCCACCCAGGGATCCCCCAGCATAATGTTTTCTTATGCATCACTCCAGATCTGTGTAGGGATAGTGACTGGGAACCCCAAACTTCTGATTATTCTTGGGGAGACCTTTTGTCCTAGATGAGCACGGAAGATCTCTAACCTGTGTGATGGACAGTTCTGATCCTGTAGTGGTGAGTGGGGAAGGGGGTGCTCTGAGGAATGTAAAAAATGGGGCTGTAGATACTTTGACATCTGTTAAATTTGGAGTATGACTTTCCAATCTAGTGTAGGGTTATGTATTGAAGAGACAGACTTAGGTCAGAGCTGTGTAACCTTGGACACGTTCATTCAGCATTCAGCAAATATTTACTGAACAACCACTATGTATGAGGCAATCATACATACTCATAGGGGGTATAGAAGTGAAGACTTGGAGTTTATTTTCTACTAGAGGGTATAAAGACTAAAATAGCAAGTAAATGTGTAGCAGCTCTGGTGGTGGCCAGTACTAGAAAACTAAGGGGTGGGGATTGT